CAGTGGTGGTGAAGACAACAACTCCCATGATCCCCCACTGCTTCACAACGTCATCAAACTTCCTCTTTTCTTATTGTTTTGATGTGAGAGACAGAAATTACACATTTAATGATCTTTAACAGGTTCAGTACACTAAGCAATCTTTCTTTAACACATCTCAGAAGCTGCCCTCTTCTTTCCACTGTATTCTTGGTGAACAGTTTCTAAAAGCAGAGGCCTTTTTAGTGAACTGGAACAGACCCTGTCAGATATTTTATCTGCCTGTGTGTGCATTAACCTATGAACAAAGCCACAGTAAGTGTGGGTAGGTACCACACTACAAACCTGTTCATGAGGTAAACGTTGACTCCGGTCCCACAGCCCAGCTTCTTCATGAAAGGCGAAGCGGGGATGGTCACTGGGGTCCCTCCGTTGCTCCCAAAGCTCCTAACTCGGACGGTTTTAGGGGTCTTGAATGCAGCATTATCGGTGCATGTGGTAGGGGAGGCCATTCTGTGCAGGGGAAACAAATAACAGCAGAGTTCATGTGGGAAAGCACACAACATCACATCCATACTGAGCTGCACTCCATTCAGAGCAGCTCTATGCACATAAGGGGCAGGCTGGCACTATAACATGGCCTTAAAACACTAATAAGTGATGTTTGATGGGTGTGATACAAGCCGAATTTAAATATGTAGCATCTCATGTCCCAACAAGTATGTATGAAGTTATTTTTGTCTAAAATTACGTAAAATAACAATAAAAGGCTAAATTTTGAATGGAGGCTGGCACGATGGCCTTGGTGAAGTAACGTAAAATGACTCAAAATGTTGCGTTAAAACGGATAACTCCTGTCAATGTTTGGCAGCTGCAAAATGAGTGGCAGTTCAAATTAAAAAACAGCATAAACTCTTATATAAGTTGTTTATTAACAATATAACAGTATTTAGTGAACGTTTAGCAAATGGCGGAGACACAGTAGCAACCACACCTAACGTTAAAAAAGCTCAAATTAACGACAGTATGGTTTAAGTTGTACTTTTAAGCAGTTTTTATTGAGTTCTGAGTGAGAAAAGTGAATAATTGAGGTCGATAAATGTAACTGTACCTGTTTTCTTCCACCGTCACAACAAACAGCGCTGCAGTTAAAACGCGCCCAACACTCAAAACGCGTCCCAGCAGGCTGTACGGAGGCCGCGGAGGGACATACTGACACAATGTCGAAACACGCGCCAGTTTTCTGTGATTTGACGCTCTTTATGGAGTGTAAATGATTGTAAATGACAGTTAATATAATATACAATA